GACAGACTGAGACCCTGTCTCAAAACAAAAACAAAACAAAACCAGAACAAAACAAACCAAAACAAAAAAACGTTGCAGGAGGAAGGCTCTTAGGGCAGAAAGATGAGATCTGTGCCTGTGGGTCGCTTCTCCTGCTTACTCCCTCTCGCCCATCTTCCCTAGAAATCATCTCTGATTCTCACAGAATAGAAGTGTTCGTGGCAGCACCTGGGCAGGACCTGCCAGCACCTTCAGCTAAAGCACAGTTAGCACCAGATTATGGATGGTGATTAGCAGATGTGAGGTCGTTCTCTGGAATATCCCAAGGTGCTCTTTTGTGATAAGCCCACTTGACAACTGCTCGCCCATCAGCTGAGTGTTATTATTACTTGTACTCTCTAGTCTGCTGACCGAAGCTGCCCTCTGGCTCACCACCATCTAGGACCCCTGCACAAGCAGGGAAGGGGAAAGGGGGTAGGGGGTGGATGGGGATAAATAAGGTATGGCAGAGCCATGAGATGGAGTTGTGAGCAGCCATTTAAAATCATGGTTTTGGCTACTATTTGATTACATAAGGAAAAGCTTATGAGATAATTTTAATTATCACATACATCCAGTCAAATGACAGGAGGGAACATAGCAACATGTTAACTATGATTATCTCTGAGTTGTCCATTTAATAGTGATGCGTCTTTTTCACGCCCCTCTTTATTTTCTCATCTGTTTTACAAGAATAAATGCAGGCTGGGCATGGTGGCTCATGCCTGAAATCTCAGCACTTTTGGAGGCCAAGGCAGGAGGATTGTTTGAGGCCGGGAGTTCAAGGCTGCATTTAGGTATGATGATGCTGCATTTACCCTGGGCAATAGAGCAAGACCCCACCAGAAGAAGAAGAAGAAGAAGAAAAGAAGAAGGAGAAGAAGAAGAAGAAGGAGAAGGAGAAGGAGAAAGAGAGAAGGAGGAGGAGGAGGAGGAGGAGGAGGAAGAGGAAATGTAAAGTAAAGGTAATGTCTAAATGAATGTGACCTTGCAAGTCAGACAGACCTGGTTTAAATACCAGCCCCACAATGCACTAATGGGTGAATCTTTCTTCATCTGTGAAATGGGGCTGATCATATGCACTTCCCTGGGCTGAATAGGCTTAAAGGGAATCATCACACAAAGTTCCTATTTCATGTTGTTTTCTGTTCCTTACACAGCAGGTGTTCTCCCCCAATGGAAGGGCCCAGGTTGGCACTGTGGGGGTGTGACGGGGGCCAATTCATCTCCAGTTCCTCTCTACTGAGGCTGGTTGCAGAAGAGAAGGGTTGCATTGGAAGCCCATTGCTGATTGAAATCAAAACTTGTGAAACCCCTGGGTTGCTTGCTTCCTCATTGGTTCCACTTGAGGAAGAAGTTGCAGGAGGTGCCAGGTACAGTGGCTCACACCCATAATCCCAACACTTTGGGAGGCCAAGGTGGGAGGATCACTTGAGCCCAGGAGTTTGACACCAGCCTGAGCAACAGAGCGAGACTCCCCAATCTCAATAAATAAATAAATAAATAAATAAATAAAAGATTAGCCAGACGTGGTGGCACGAACCTGTAGTCCCAGCTACTCAGGAGTTCAAGCAGGAGGATTGTTTGAGCCTGGGAGGTCAAAGCTGCAATGAGCTGTGATCACACCACTGCACTCCA